ATTGCCGGCTGCTCTGTTTGTTTTCATTTGTTTGTCCGAAATGTGAAAATATTCTAGCCAGGAAATGCGCGAAATGAAAAATTTGGAAATGTTTTTCTTTCGCTGAAAATAGATCGCAATAAAACCATGACAAAAGATAGACGTGTGTATCTGGAGGCCATTAAAGAGCTCATTAAAGAGAATGTTAATTGTTCTTTGTGTCTTCTGTTGTAAAGTTAAACACTTGCGACGTATTTCAGATATCTCAAGAGATTTATTTCGAGTACATTCAAATAGAATCGCTTATATTATAGTTTTCCTTCTGGTGACCACAAAATGTTGTCTACTTTTTGGCAATAGAAACTGATAAGTTTTGCTGTGACTTTTAAATATAAATTCAACTATATGAAGAGCTGCGAATCTTTCTGATTGTTTATTACTATTCTTGTAACTTTGATCATTTAAAGTTCGATTGTAAATGATATATTGACCCTAACGACGAAGTTATCAATAAATTGGTGAAACCAAAATAAAACACGGGTTAATGACTTAGCATTCAAAAAGCGCGCCACCGGCTCGCTCAGCTAGGTGGCAGCACTGGCAAAAGTTTGCGAGAGAGTTAGCGCTCTCGCTCTCTCTCTTTCTCGCTCCTGCAAACATTCGTGCGTGTGAACGCCTGCGTGTCTGTGTGTGTGTTTTGTATCTTTTACTTTTCAGCAGCGTGAAACTCAAACAGTCAGTTTCAGTTCAGTTTTTCAGTTTAGGCAGCAACAACGCAAAAGTCCGAAGAGCCTCCAAACAAAAAAAGAGCGCTCATCTCACACAAAAAAAGCACAAAACCGAAACGAAAGAAAATTACGCGCTCATCAATATCAATCGTTGCTGCTGCTACTTCCTTCCCGCTCTTCGTGTGTTTTTTTTATTCGCAACAAGGATCCAAAGAGAGCAAGTGCAAAAAAGCGCGTAGAATTTTTAAAAGTGCGTTTGAAACACACAAATTAAAGAAAAGTATTAAGTTTTAAAACCAAGAAAAGTGCAAAAAGGCCTATTGAAAGAGAGGGAAAAAATACGGTTAACTGCGTGAGCGAAAGAGAGAGAGGGCGGGCAAAGAGAGTCAAAAAAGCAAGTGCAAGTGGTTGAAAAACAAAAAAAAGCACTTGAATTAAATAGCAAAATGGCAAAAACAATGTGAAAGTAATTCCTGCTATTTGGTTCACACACACTTAAGTAGTTAAACATTAGTAGTACACTTGTAATTGTTGTTGTTGCTGCTCGCAGTGAGTTCATCGCAAAAAATAATACATACGGATGGAGAGTGAGAGAGAGGGCGAGATGGCGAGAGAGGGGGCGTGAGAGAACGACAACGCCTCCTCTCCCTCACACTTTTACACTGAAGAAAAAAAAACATATTAGATCTACTAGAATTTTAAAATCAAATTTTAAATAATTTAAACATTATTAATTTTATCATGGACGATCAGAATTCAGCAAGTAATATTTAGTTGAATATTTTAAATTGTATGTATGAATTCGTACTAGGTCAGTATTTGAAATAGTTTCTTTCTGTGTAGACCGCTAAACGCAATTAAAATAAATGTGCACCAGTGTGTGTGCGTGTTAAAATAGCACCTTGTTTGTACATAAATTAGCCTTAGTCGCTGTTATTTATACTATATATGTATAAACCGTTTGCATTATACAATATATGCACACATCGGTTGCGCCAGTGTATATATTTTGAAATTATAATAAAAACAAATCAAACTCAACGCCGCACTGCAGTTGCCCTCTCTTCCGCATCTTCCGCCCTCCTCTCTCTCTCTATCTTTCTCTCTGTTTTCGCTTTTCAAGTGCAAAAATGAATTTTCCGCTATTTTGTTTCTCATGTGTGTGTTAGTGTGTTTTATTTTTTGTGTTTTTCTTGAGTTTGCGGGTGGGGTCGCATAATTTGTTAAATTAATTTTCACTCTCCCTCTCGCACTTTATACCCCCTCCCCCACTTCTGGGATTTCTTCTTCTTCGACCGTGACGTAGTCCCTCGCGTGTGTGCCCCAAAATACAAAAGCAAAAAACCAAAACTAATTGAAAAGCTGCTGCGCTGCCGGCGTCGCAGTCGCCAAACAGTGTTGCCATCCATACGTTGCAAAAACAAAATAACCAAAAACAAGCCAAAATTAGCTTTTAAATATGGTAAAACGTGGCCAAAACTCTGGACAAAATAAACATATGTTTCAAGTGTTTTTTTTTTTCAATGTGCTAACCTTCGTTTTGAAAAGTTCCAGATGTCAAAAAACGCCAAAAACTGATAAGGAATTCCTTTAACTTTAATTGTTACACAGAAAGAAAATTTACCATAAAAAATAATCATCAATCGTTAGTTTATTTTTAGTTTCAAAGCATTTTTTCCGGGACAGACTTATCAATCACAAAATAATACAATCATATAGACTTCAAAATTTTATTAATAACAACTTAAACAATGATTTGACACATTTTCTTAGCAAAATAAAATTCTTTAGGCGAAGTTCAAGATACCGGAAACAAATTTATAATTATTATCAAACATTTCAAAAAGTAAATGAAAATTTCGCATTATTTCCAACACAAACAAAGGGACATTTTTGTTTCGTAGTGGTAGGTTAAATGTCATATCACACGGAAAGTCTTAAAGATTAGGCTAAGGAAGATAAATTTGCAGAATGCATTATATCGTCAGCATAGCAGGGGCAACTGATCAAAATCACCTGCCGAATGAATGCTTTTAGGTAGCCAAGAAAAAAAGCTAAAGCCACAGCACCATTTAGATCGTTGGTGGCAAGCATAATTAATGCGATCATCTTCGAGTTCGCTTTTCCCCCAGCTGATGCTGCCTCTTCTGCTTCTGTTTCCCATTTACAGTTCATGTGTTCCTCCTCCTCTTTGCCTCTTCTCTTCTCCGCCCCTCCTTTATCCATTATCCATCATCCACTCCACCTCCTACTTCATAGTAATGGCAACAAGTTTTTTGTTCCCATATTTTTCAGTTCTTTAATTTACTTGGGCACTTGAAGTCGCGTTTATGAGTTAGTGGTAAATCTTTAAACTTTTTCTACTTCTACTTAACAACCTTTTTGTCCCGGGGAAAAAACGTTTAATAATGTTCCTCTGAGCCAAAACAAGCTGGAATCGTTTTTTTTTTTCGTATTTGCCTAAAACTTGTTTTTTCGAGCTTGTAACACTCGTGTTTTGTTGATAGTATTGTTCTGGTTCCAGTTGCTACAGGCCACGCTCGATATGGAGTACTCTTGAAGTCAAGGGCGTTCACTATACAGATTTTATAGAATTAAAATATAAATATTAAGCCTGTTTTTAATTTTTAAATGTATCTTATTGTTTAATCTTTCACCCTACAACCAATTTTTTTTAACCATATTTCTTGAGTAATGATAATAAATTCTTTTATAAACAATAATAATTGAATATTTTTGTATATAATATAAAAATATTTCTAACGTTGTTCATACTTCAGAGGGTGTACTGTATCATTTTTTCCATATCAATTTCGGCACATGACGTAATCTTCACATGTTCAACACCAACAACTACAAAAAAAAAGAAGGAAAAAAAACAAATAATAACAACAACAAGCACATTGAGTTATGAAGTGTATTTGAAATGTAAACAGATAAAAAGTTGTTGGAGGAGGGGGTCTTTATATAGTGAGCGGGTTGTCTGATTCGATTGTAGGCTGTTTATTTTTTGCTACTTCTTCTGGTTCTCATTTTTTTTCGACAGGTTTCTTTAATGGCTTTTCCACTGGGGTTCAAAGTTCTGGGACAATAAAAAAAAAACCTGGAAAGATGTAGGAAGTGAATGTCCCATGGGCCATTGGATGGTGGAGATTGAGATCTTACAAGTTAAATCTCCCATTCCAAAGCGCCAGTTCGCATTCTTTGATAATACAGTGCGTTTCGGCTCAGTAAATCTCAGGCTTTTCGCACAACACCAACCAGCCAATAAATGAAGTCATCGACATAAACCAGTTATAAAGATAAAAAAGGAACCCATCTAGCAAACTGCTCTATAAAACTTAATTTATTTCTAAGCTGATTTATCAAGCTGTAGATTATCTATTTTTTATTTATAGTTTTTCTATTTTATCTCTTAAAATCCAAAGATTCCCTAAGATTTGGAACGCCTAAGGTTTTGAAAGGCTGTCAACAAGTGGATGAAATATGGATTTTCCGAATAAAATAAGTTTCCAAAATGTTTTTATAACTGGAAGATGGTCTTTAAATAGCGCATTGTATTTTCGGAACACCAAAAATGTTTCAAATAAGTTTCAAGATTTTCTCCCGAAAGGGAAACTAATCCCCAAGTAACGCCAAAGATCCCCCAATGCCCCAATGCACCAGAAACGGGAGCAGCACTTCCCCCTATCGATTTAATTCGTTTGATCCAGTGACCTGTGATGCTTGTGTAAGTGTCAGAAGTCAGAATTCGTTTTCGTTGCTAACAATATTAACCATTATAATATGGAAAACTACAACACATCTATGGATTATTTGGCGGAACAGGGCGATGAAATACCAGAGGACTCGTGGATGAGGGGCACATATACGAGTGCCATTTCGGATGCCGATAAGCGCAGGATAGTGGCGTAAAGTAGTGGTTTACATATCGAATTTCGATTTAAGCTGAACTTGGTCTTTCCAAAATCAAGAAAATTGTATTAGGCGGTTCGGTCCGCACAACATTCAATCAATTGAATCAGATATTTAGCTGAAAGCCAATTGGCAAATGACTTAATTTAATTGACATTGAGGTGGCTCCTCTGTAGATGACGCACTTGCTCAGCTATTTTAAGGTCACATGCGCCGATGCGTGATTTTAGTGCTCGTGCTCTCTCCCCACCCACCACCCACCCCCTCGATAAAACACACAGACTGCACACACTGCATATATAGATATTTGTATAACATATATATATATATATAGCAATTCTCTAATTCGATTTGTGTGCCTGCTCTGCTCACTTCCAGATCGGAACGCTCGATAGTGCGCGTTTCCATTTACCAAAGCAGCCAGCCGCAGCAGATCTGTCCACCGGCGGATTACCTGCTGGACGCCCTAGACGGAGGCTACAACTACAACAGCAACCTCCTCGACTACACGACGATGGCCACGACGGCGGCGGGGATCCAGCAGCAGCAGGTGATCGGCCTGGGAGCGGCCTACGATCGACAGCAGAGGTGTGTAAATATATCTATGTCATATATATTTAGCAATAATCCAATGACCGACTAATTGCAGCACTGATTCGGGCTGGGACAATCCCTTTCGTCCAGGCGGCGATCTGTCCAGGGAGGCTGATGAAATTGTCAACATGATCAGAGGTAAGTTCGATGTATAGTTGCTAGGGTTGCCCTTTTTTAAGGGCTCGATAGGAAGAAAGGAGTACAATTGGAATTGTGTACCTATGGTCATAATAATTTAATTTTCATATTATTAAGAGGGATCACTTAAATATTTTTATACCCGTTACTCGTAGAGAAAAAAAAGTATATGATTACCTTTAGAATTTTTCATAGTTCATATTTGCCATCGTATATGAATGATAATTTAAATTAATACAATTGGTATTTTTAACCATTGGAATAGGGTTTTCATAATAATTTAATTTTCATATTATTTAAAGGGATCACTGAAATATTGGAATAAAATAATTATATTTCTATTTTTTATTTTTTTGTATATATAAACATATGTTATCCGAATTATTTCATTCATATATTTATATATATAATTATTCATAGTTATAATCGCCAATATATGTGATAATTAAATGAAGAGCTTTTAATCTCCATAAAATCCAATTAATATTCTCAAGATCAAGATATATATTGTCAGTTTCATACAGTATATGAGAACTTTCAGCATTGGAACTACCATAAGTCACTAAAAATTAGGAACTTCAAGATATAGAACAAATTACCGGGTGCCCTAATACATTTTATAGGATCTGCAATAAAAACAGTGTAGTTTGACCTATAAAAACTTCAACTGCTTTACTGTAATATTCAATGGAAAGTTAAAAATAATATCTTACCTTTTTCTAGGGATATAATTAGTTAGAAATTAGATATAGCTATACCAACTGGCACTTACTTTACAACTTTACAACTTACTTTTATAAAAATATTATTAATATGATTAAATGATTTTATAATAATGATATATGTATATATGATTATGATATAACATATGATATATTTATGGTAAACATACCTATTTTAAGGCAGGGCCTCTAAAGGGATAATATCTACCAAAAGGCCATTCGAACCCAAGTTGCTTGAATCCCATTCTAACCTAGTAACCTATCTTTCAGGCGGCAAGCCCATCACACCCACAGAAGAGCGTACAATTGGCAACGGGAGCGCCCAGCATGCGGAAGACAATTGCAACGGCGGAGCGGCGATTGGCGAGAGCGTAACCAAATCGAACGTAAGTTTATTGGATCACAAAGTAAAAGTGCCATGTGTATTTATAGCAATATCCCCCTAAATGTCTTTTTCGCAGCTCTCGCAGAATCTAGCAACAGCACAAAATGGTACAAATTCCCATGCCTCTGCCTCTGCCGACGCTGGCGCCGGAAAAGCAGCAGCGACGGCGACCGAGCTGAGCGGCGGTGGCGGCGGAAACGGAAATAACGGGGTCACCTCGCTGGGACAGGTGTCCAAACAGGTGGTTCCGGGACCGACGTCCGCTAGTCATGTGGTCATCGACGAGAAGAAGAACAAGAAGAAGGGCTGCTGCGTCCTGCAATAATCGGGGAAAAGCACGATGACGACGGGGGACGAACAAACAAAACAAAACAAGAGAAACAAACAAACAAACAAAGCAAAAAGGGGGCGGGCATTTTCCGGCTAGCCGTGTTTTTTGATGTTAATGTTTTTTGGGGTATAAACGATGGAGCCGAGCTGTTGATATTTTTCATGCCGCATAAATCGCTTTGCTTAGCTTAGCAAACGGAGGCCGAGACGAGACAACAACAAACCGGATAAAAACACACACACAACAAGGATATAAACTAGGAGAACATATAGAAGAAAACCAAGCTCTCTGACCAACAGCAGCAAGATTATCAAGGAAAATAGTAGCAGTAGCAGCAGCAGCCACAGTGAGAGCCAAAATTGAAGCAACACCCAGCAGCTGTTGCTCCTCCAGCCTCACACAGCAAACAATAGTCGAGAAAATCCAATCCAAAATTTGAATTGTAAATCTAAAGTACACACTTATATATATTTATACATATATATATATTTGTTAGTCTGACGACCACGATGATGATGATGATGCTAACCTGCAATTCACCCCTATTATATACATAAATACTGTTTTTTTTTTCCTTTTTCTGTAATGTGGACTCGACGACCTGCATATGTGTATTATAAAACCTATATGCATATATGTGAATTTAATTTTTTTTGTAATTGTAAAATTTAGTGCGGCTTTTTTAATGAAATGAAAAGGATGTAGGGACGTTTAAGGAGTAAAATAACAAAAAGAGAAAAAAAATAAAAACGAAAAAACGTTTTGCTTGCATGCATAATGGATACAAAATCGAAAAAAAGAATGCAAAAAAACAAAAAAATTTAACATAAAGAATAATGTATTTATTTTTATTTATATGATGACGATGACGACGAAGAAGCAGATGAAAGTAAATTAAATGTTAAACCTTAAAACAAATATACACATACACATATACAAACACACACACACACATACGCATATATACTATACGATATATGGAGATGAAATGTATGACGCAATAAAGCAAAAAACGAGATCAGAACCGAAACCGGAAACAGTAGAGAAAACTAATTAAAGAAATCCCAATTTTCTAAGGCTAAATAATAAATAATTATTTTTTATCATTATATACATGAGATCAGAACCGAGATGATTGAGAACCGGGTGCGCTGACTTTTGGGGCCCAATGTAGCGGCTGATCAAAGACAAGCAGCGGTGCTGAAAACGAAGAAGAAAAGGGGTGAAAATGGTAGAACGAGGGCTTAGTTCTTTGAGGAGGAGAATCTAGAATCTAGAAAGAAGAAGGGCTTTGAAGAAACCGAAATCCCAAGACAAAAGCTTAGAAATGAGGCCAGCGAAAGAACATAGACAAAAACAGAAAAAATAAGGAAGAACCACCGTTTTTCAGCTTAGTTAAGCACAATACAACCCTCCACACAACCCAAAACCAACCCCACTTTCTCCCAACCCTTTCACTCAGTATTTTTCTCAGTTGAACACAAATCAAAAGCAGAGAAATTAAAGCAAAAACAATTATGCAAAAATAATAAGCAGGTAAATCGAGCAAAGCGAGGTACAAGAAAGTTTACACGGAGAGAAAAGCAGCAACCAAATAGCAAAAGAAAGTAATGAGAACACCGAAATGGACCGCCACACCCACTCACACACACTAACACACACTCTCAAACACAAACACACACACCTACAGCCTAAGCATCAATGTGCTGCATTTGATAAACGTAATGAAAAAATAAAATATATATATATATATACACACAGATATATGAAATAGCAATATTGTTTCAACTGAAAATAAGCAAATCAACAAGAGGGAAATTCCAAAATCCGCTAAAAACATAAAAATGATAAACAAATCCGTAAACTAAATCAATGAGAAAGGGAGAAACAGCAGCCAGTACAGCAATAAAATCAATATTTAATATTGTAAATTTCCGATTCCAAAAAGAAAGCAAAACCTATAAAAAAAACCAACAAAATGTTAAGTTATTGTATAAAAAAATCCTAAATAAAAAACGAAAGCAAAAATGAAGCAAGATGTATTTCAATTCCTATGTAGCATATAGCATAATATTCAGGGCCGCCAAAAAGTATAGTCCACTTTTAGGCTTAAAAAGAATTACAATATTTGTATATTATGCGTGGGATCCGCATAACGAAAGAGATGGCTATACTTATTGATTGATGAATGCTTTTAGTTCATTCGATCGACGTATAATTGATTGCAATTGTTTAAGGCAAACAAATCGCTTAATGCTTCCGCATCGTCCAAATTTAGTATTCCAAACGAGGAACAACTAAACGAGGAACCTTTCACCTCATCGCCTCCAATCGATTCAATTAGGCAAAACAAATCTGTATAAATCGAATTCGTGGCTAGTTAATTATTCCCATGACGCAACTGCATAATAAAATTACCAAATGTGCGATTCAAGCTTTTCGAAATTTGGAATACTCTTCTCTTGTTCGTAATCAGGATATTTTTCAGGGGATTTGTAAGTGTATTATCATTTTATTATTTTTATTATACACAGAAAAGGTATGGGGATAAATCGCGACCCCCCACTCCCACTACGATGAAAACTGAAAGGAAATTGGTATTCAAAAAGTATGCAACAAACAAATTTTTGAAATCCCCCCACAACCAAATCCTGGATCCTGATTATAGTCAAGATTTTAATATAATTTTAAAAACTGTGGAATTAATGTAAAGCAAATGGTGATAATAATATCAACTGTAAAGCAAGTAGGAAATATCACTTTTTTTTTGCTCTAAGCATTTTTAAATATTCCGGGTAGGGTCAACGATTTCCCAAGCCAACTAGCAAGTTTTGAGTTCACCCACGTCACGCAGTTTTTTGAAGATGAAAAACCAGAATTGGGTTTGTTCTTTTTTTCAGTTTTATCGTTTCGGAGTTGATTTTATTTATGAACTCTACTCGGAAAGACATTTATAGCAATTTATCTGGATTTGGTTTATGGCTTTCGGCCATTGCGATTCCGATTCACATTCGCATTTGGATTCGGATTCGGATTCCAATGAAAGATTAATTGGCAACCGAGGAGCTGTCAATTTTTAAATTGTTGCGCCTAAGTAAGCGGAAATGTCTCTGCCTCTCGATCACGATTTCATCGAATTGGATCCAAGACCAGCGCTTTGGGATTGAAATGGATTGGATTCGATTTGGATATCGATGATGCGACCGTAGTGAGGTGATGCTACCTACCCAAGGCACCCACTCAGAAATGGAGAAGGGGAACTGGATTTTGGCCATCTATCTAATGAAAGTCAGTCATCGTTAATGGTCAAACGTGTTTTCTTCTCGATGGGCATATGGCCTGACACCCACAGTGATGCTACTAAGTCCGTGGACCTCTTTTAGCGAATTGATTTTTAATTTTAACATCAAATTTTGTTGATTTTTAAAGTTTAACTAATATTTATCAGTATTTTTATTGAAATTGTATAATTAAATACATTTTCATTATACTAAAAATTAAAATACTTCAAAATATGGTTTTGCCAAAAAAAAAAAATAATTTTAATACAAATTTGTATTCTTTACATTTAATGCCTAGTACTCACTTCAATCGAAAAGCCTACGAAATGAAAATCTCCATACAAACTTTTGATCACGACATTTTCCGCCTGTCATTTTTGTATAGAAATTTTCGTTTCGTTGCCTTTTTGATTGAAGTGAGTACTACGCACAAACTTTTCCCAGATACTGTGGATCCAAATCTTCTTCCCAAAAAACCCCCGCCACACTGCCTCTTCGACCGCCCGAAAAACGCACCTAATTTGCGAGTGCGATTCTCGTGCAGGTGCAAATTATGATGGGACGCAAAACAACCAATAAAAGCAACACAAAAGCCTTAATAATTTATGGCAAAAAAGTGGGGAATAAGCTAAATAAGCAGAAGCAGAAGATTGGGGGAAGCAAAATCAAAATCAAGAAGCGCTGTTACTGTGGGCCATTAAAATTCGACATGTGTAAACGGCAGAGGGGCAAAAGTCGCGGCGGCGCTGGAGATAAAGATAAAAATCGGTTAGTTAGGCAATGGCACATCGGTCAACACAAAAAAAAAATGAAAAAAATAAAAACGACAATCGGGAAAAAAAGCTGCGCATGCGCCGCACGCGTCGCGACACAAATACACACAGAGGCCCCTGTACGTATACGTAATATTGCTTGCTGTATACGTATACGTAATATTGGCGCATGTATGTCTAACTGTACAAACGCGCACGCGCTGCCGCTCTCTCGCGATGTCTCGCTCCCTCTCACTGCGGGGAGTTGGTCATAATATAGCTATATTTTAGCTATCTCATAGCTAGATCTAACCATTTAAAGTCAATAATATTGAGTTGAACTCGGTGCTTGCTAAGAAAACTAAAAAAAAATCTACAAAAGAATATCGTTTTAAAAACTCTGTTTTTTTTCATAATTTCTGGTCAGTATTTTCCGGGCTGTTTTCTAGCATCTCTACATTTAATCATTGCACACACTTATGTATTTAAATTTTGTATATTATTTTAATAATGTAAGTCCTGTTAATCGAGACAAATTCTGTAATTTATGACTTAATAGTACAGGCTTAAGCCAGCATACATTTTTGTAATACACATTTTTTTAAAATTGTTTGCCTCTTTATAAAATAAAACTTTAAATTTGTTAACGTGCGTTGGTTTTATAGTCCTGGGTTCAAATCCCACCGCTGCCGTGTTTTTTTTTATTATTATATTAAAAAATTTTTTGTTTATAAAATTATTTTTAAATTACAGCCAATTTAATATGTCTGGGTTTTGTTTTTTATATCCAGCTCTCCAGATTCTGACAGCACTGGCGTCGTCAAAGCGATTGGCTGCGACTGTGTGCTTGAGCGGTGGAGTCGCGCTGTCTGCGCTGTAAGCGTTTGGAAGTAGAGCAAGTGTCTTCGCCGCCGCGTCTCGATTTTCTCACTCCATGGGGCGCCAAAGTCTGAGTAACGGCAGAGCTATCGATAGGATGGGTTGATACGCCATGGGCGGCATTATTCAGATCTTCAGATCCGATTCTAGCTAGCTTCATATATCTTCCTCTCTCCTTTTCTTTGTTCCTCCTGTTCCTTGGATTTCTTGATTTATGTGCGATTGGCGCTGAATGATTGATTCGTCTCTCGACTTAATTAAAAGCTTGGGCAGTGTGCTGATCATTAAGCAATTTAAGAACTTGTTGATTTCGAGATGGAGGCAACAAATGATTGATTGGAAAAATAAATAATATGGGAACCAGGATGGAGGAAACTTGAACTGAAGCATACGGAAAATCAACGGTTTAAACTAAATAATCAAAGGAAATAAAGGATAACCTGATATTTCAAGTAACTGGAAAACTTAAATGTATCTTATAATATACCTAATATTACAAAAATAAAAAATCTTTTAAAAACGTGACTTCCCAAAACAGGCAAAACCAAAAAGTTAAAAGTTATTAAGCCTAAATCTAATCAAACTAATCCCAAATGACCTCCCGACACCGCATGATTGGCACAGTTCTCAATCGATTGTTGCCCTTGGCGCGGCTTTAGAGTGGACCAAGCCACCCGAAACTGTTTTCCAGTTTAAATTTTGTTATTTTTCTATCGGCTGTGTGCTATTTATAGACTTCGTGCGCACCAAAATGCTAACAAGGCAAAAGTTGAAAAATTATCTTAAGAAACCAGCTTCCAAAAGTTGTGGGGGGTGACCGGATCTGAGCTTTGCGGAAAACTCTGATAAATTATTAAATAAACAAGTCGTAAACCCGACCTGCGCTTACGAACTATTAATTAGATGGGCCATCAATGTTCCCTTAGGCTTTGCCCGTTTCCAATTCGAGTTTGATCTATCGATCTGGAGATTTATAATCCCTATAAAACTTTAATGGAATTAGTGAGGCAGAGTTAATTGAATGGCGGCTTTAAATGGTGACAGCTTCACTTTTATGCGATTTCTTTCAGACTCGCTGGCGATTTCGGGCTTTGTCTTCGATTTTGGCTTTTGGATTGGGTATGGAACTTAGTTTCTGGATCTCTGGACCTGTGGATCTGAACTCGTTGTCACGCCCGAGGAGCTCTATCTATAGCTTTAATCTACAATCTTTTGGAGGGGTACAGTGGGTTTCGTGACTGCAAGTGGCGAATCCAGAGTTATTTATTCTAAATAAAATATTTTAAAAACACATGGATTTGTTAAATATGATTTTGGAAATTTATTTAATTACAAAACATTTAATGACTAAGTAAAGCAACAGAGCTCATAAAATGGATTACCTCATCCAAAAAGCAGCAGACAGCTATTTAAATAATATAACCGAACCCTAAAAAGCTTTCAATTTTTAATATCACATTAAATTAAATTCGAACAAATGGCCTACTAAAGAGCATTGTTAAACTCGTTTTGGGAACGGGTATAAGTAAAAGTAACGTTTTAAATATCTTATTAAATTTAATTCCAAAATTAGAATATAATTCGATATTTTTTGCAACAAGTAAATTAATAAAGTGGGTAAGTTATGGCATTGCGGCGACCACTTTCATCCTATAATTTCGATTGATTTCGACTTTTACCACCGAAACGCACTGTATGCCTGCATATATTGAAAAGGAACATAATACTCCCCTAAAACCAAAATTAAACACACAAAAAAACTGGTCTTAATTATACGAAATTCAGCAGAAACTACAAAAAGCCAAGCGCAGAGACAGATAACTTTACGTTTTGGGGTAAAAGCAAAACGTGTTTAGCTT